AAAACATAGCACTGAAACCTGTGTGGTGACTGTCAGAGGCCAGGAGAAACATTCAGCCATCATTTTAACCCCTGGGAACCAGAGAGTTGTAGGTTTGGGGCGAACCAGGTAGAGTGAGCGCATTCCTAAAACAGGTGTCAAAAGTAGGCTAGATTGGCATAATTATAAAGCTGGTTTACAGTGCCAGTGACGTTTAGGTTTTATGAATTCTTTTTTTTTTTTCCGTGCCCATCAATTTATTTTGATCTCAAGGAAGGTGTTTTGGAGCAGTGCTCAAGAAATAGCTCAACCAAAAGAACATTTAAATTATGTAAAAATGAACTCCAATGAATTCTTTTAAGGAATGTTCTGACATCAAACTTGTACTGGCAGAGAGTAACAGCAGGCGGAAAAACCCGAGACATCAACCACTGAGTCAACAAGTGATTCAGAAAAGCAAAACCCGAAGTTTTAGGAAAACCAAACATGCATTTCTAGATACTTTCTACAGATGCACAATTGAAAGTGTCTGCATCTAGCAAAGTCCCAAAGAGCTCCACAATGGGATACAAAGTAAAATGTCCAGACAACAAGAAAGCATTCTGTTTCATTCTTTTTTCTTTTCTTTTTTGGAGATAGGGTCTAGCTGTGTTGCCCAGGCTGGAGTGCAATTCTGTGATCATGGGTCAAATCAGCCTCTGCCTCCTGAGCTGAAGTTATCCTCCCACATCAGCCTCCCAAGTAGCTGGGGCTACAGGCTCATACCACCACACCCAGCTTATTTTTGTAGACACAGGGTCTCCCCATGTTGCCCAGGCTGGTCTTGAACTCCTGGACCCAAGTGATCCTCCTGCCTCAGCCTCTCAAAGTGTTGGGAGTACAGGCATGAGCCACTGCACCTGGCCATTGTGTCTATTTAAATGCAAGAAGTTTTCTTCCTTTCTTAGTAGAACATAAAATAATAGTGTGTATTATAAATAATAGCATATTTTAATGATACATTTTTAATGATATATTTTCTGGGTACCTTGAATATTAAAAAATTGGGAAAGTACTTCCTTGGAGGCAGGTCCTTGTTCTGGTTCATTCTTTCATACCACAGCTTCCATTACAAATTCTATGTATACTTCTCTCAGCAATATAGGTACAGAAGAATTCTACTTACAGTGTAAAGAAAGAACTGGACAAAATATTTTTCAAGTTTACAACTTTTAACAAATCAAATTCTTAAGGACTTCAGACAAACGGATCAATAAACAAAGTATCACATATACTCCCAAACTAAGGCAAAGTTTTCTCCCAAAAGTAGCCCTTAAAGACACTCACCTTGTATTTGAGGCATTACAGTGTTTCACGATGTACTAAAGGCTGTCCGTAATCTGAAAAGAATACAAGTTATTGTTTTGTGGAAACATATTAGTGGACTTAAACAACCTTAAGCAATGCTAATATTGCTGCTGGTAGGATAAATTGTAAAGGAGTCTCATCAGCAGTCACGGTCTCTAGGATTATAAACCTACAATTACAAGTATTTAGTGTCATTGGAAACAAGCCTTTTAAAAATTGAAAGCAATGCTCTGTGGATTCTGAAAACCAGCTGCTCTGGTGTCACTCATGCACAGGCATGCTTGTGGCTTGAGATAAATGTCCATCAGCCGCAGCATACATAGACCCCAAAACTGCTGCATCCCAAACTACTTAGAAAAAAGATCATCTGCTCTTAATTTATTAGAGGATGCCCAAGTGGGCACCGGGGTCAAATATGAAGTCTGAGTGACATTCCTGAAATGTGAATGTGAAGAAGGGAAGCCCATATCCTGGTTAATAGATTAACAAATCTGAAACACCTTTAACGAACAGTAAAGGTGTATATTTTATCCTCTCATCTACAATCCTCAAAGTTATAGATATAAGTTGGGTGAAAAGGTTTTATGTGATCTTCACATTGGAAGGTGAGGGGTTGGGTGTCTATGTAACTACTTTATAGACATACTAAAGCTATAAACACTGCCATGAAACAATTTTTTTAAAAGTGACTTCCCTAATTCATCTGAATAAAATACCATTAAAACACAAGATGGCCAGGCACGGTGGCTCACGCCTATAATCCCAGCACTTTGGAAGGCCGAAGTGGGTGGATCACCTGAGGTTGGGAGTTTGAGACCAGCCTAATCAACATGGTGAAACCCTGTCTCTACTAAAAATACAAAATAGCCGGGCATGGTGGCGCACACCTGTAATCCCAGCTACTCAGGAGGCTGAGGTAGGAGAATCGCTTGACCTGGGAGGTGGGGGTTGCAGTGAGCTGAGATCACACCATTGCACTCCAGCCTGGGCAACAAGAGCAAAACTCAATCTGGAAAAAAAAATCCACAAGATTACTTTCTCACAGGTGATTTTGATACCAATTCACTGATTTAGAAGCAGTTACCATCCGATTATGTGAGATCTAGTATCCACTCATTTAAATCTCTTATCAGAATGTTAAGATTCCCTCACAAAAAATGAAGTTCATATTCCTCAAACCTTTTAGAAAAATAAAACTTTTAGGTGATCCTCTCACCTCAGCTTCCCAAAAAGCTGAGATTACAAGTATGAGTTATTGCACCCAGCCACAAAAATAAAAGTTTTAAAGAAATGTAAACCATATTGAGGTACTTGAATATACACCAAGAGAGAAAGGTGTTGATGGTGGAGAATTTGATCACAAATTAATTCAGCTCTTTCTGAAGATGAATTAGATTGTGTATAATGAAGAGGCAGGTAAGTGTTTATGCCCTGTGACCCAGTAATTCTACTTCTAGGTTTCAGCAACTAAACCGTGGAATAATTACATCATTGTCATACTCCATTCAATGAGTTATGCAGCTGTCTTTAAATGGCAAATACTAAAACTACATTTAAATTCTTTGTAATACATATAAGACTGGAGAATATTTTAAAATAGCTACTATAATGACATGGCAAAAATTGCAAGTTGAGTCTTTTCCAAAACTTTTGACAATATTGCCTTGGCACTACTTTTATAGTATAAGAAGAAAGTTTTAACCTTCCAATCCTGGGTGTAGAAGCATAGAAGAAAATATAAGATAAACATTACAGATTTCTTTGTGTTATTGGGACAGGGTCTCACCCTGGCTCAGGCTAGAGTACAGTGGCAAGCATAGCTCACTGCAGCCTCAAGCTCCTGGTGCAAGCGATCCCCCAGCTTTGGTCACCTGAGTAGCGGCCACAGGTGTGCGTCACCACATCTGGCTTCAATTATTTTTGCAGCTATGGCAGTCTTGTTATGTTGTCCAGACTGGTCCTGAACTCCTGGCTTTAAGAAATCCTCCTGCCTCAGCCTCCTTAAGTACTGTGATTACAGGTGTAAGTCACTACACAGGGCCCCATACTACAATGCTAACATGTCATTGATTGGGTCTGGAGGGGAAGACAACTTTGTATCTTTTAAATTGTTTGAACTCTTAATAGGAACTTTTTTTTTTTAATTATAGAATTTAAAGCATTTAAAGCACTCATGCCCTTACCATAAAATGCCGTCACAGATTGGTGATTTGGCCCATACAAGTTAAAAAATAGTATCTCCCATCTACCATAGTAAGTGCCCAAAACACAGCAGTAGGTTTTGCTGAGTCTGTTCTGGACTCCAGGCCATCTGTCTTGATGGTAGACATGGGTATCGCTGTTTGTGTAGCAACATGGGGCATATCCCAGCAAGGCTACAAACATGTGAGCAGAAAACTAATAACCACACTAGCAGTCTGTGTAAAACATCAAAACAAAGCCAATCTTGGTATTCTTTTTTATTTATTAAAAAAACTATTTCGGTGGTTAAATCCACTTTTCCTTCTAAGTAGCTTTTTGGGTCATTTCCAAAATTACCCATAAGAAGCCCTTTCTCCCAACAGAAAGGAAAGCATTTTACAGGAAAACATTGATGGGCTCTGGGGTCCCAAGACATGCACCAGATATTGAGTGTTCAGATAGAAGGGGCGACTCTAATTCTAGTCTTGGAGTACAAAGGGGTCAGTGAGTAAGAATTATCCAAAGAAGCTGAAGCATTCATTGTTTTCTCACTCTTATCTAAGGTCTCTGAGAGGTACGTTTATAGATTTGAAAAGATGCAAGGAAGCTGTGTGGAACAAACCCCTCCAAAGGATCTCAAACACAAGGTCATCCTAGGATCCCCGGTAGGAAACGCCGGGAGACTAGGGTCTAGGGGTCAAAGGTGGCTCGAGTTGCTTCTTATCTGATGAAAGGGAAGAATCGCTTGTTCCTTTAAGATAACTGAGAATAAGTTAAGCAAACTTAAGAACTATTTCTTAAACAGTAAGCAATTGTTTTAAAACTCAATTATCTACCCAAATATTCATAGCATTATTCATAATAGCTTAAAAAGTGCACGGAAAAACCTAAATGTCCCTCAGTGGATGAATGGATAAAGAAAATACAGTATTATCCTTACAATGCAATATTATTTAGCAATAAAAAAAAGTACTGATATATGCTAAAACATGGATGAACCTTGAAAATGGATTGCTAGTACAAGCCAGTACAAGGCCGCATTCCAGTTATATAAAATGCCCAGAAGGGGCAAACCCAGGGACACACATACACTATTGGTTGCCTAGGGTGGGAAGTGTTTATATAATATGGTTTCTTTCTGGGATGTTGAAATGGCTCAAGATTATAGTGATAGTTGCAAAACTGTTTAATATATTGAAAACCACAGAACTATAAATAAATTTTATGGTATGTAAACTGTATCTCAATAAACTCTCAGAAAAAGAATTCATTACTAGCTGTCTGGTTTTAAAAAATAAAATCTTCCTGCCTCTCAAGAGTAGCTGAAAAGAAAAATAAAATTTATAAACGCAAGACTAATATTTAGTGGAGGAAAAAGCTATAATAATGTAACTATTAAACAATTCACTTACCTAAAAGTTCTCCAGTTAAGAGTCAAATTAGATGTCAAATCCAGTTATGCCTTCAAAAAATTTCACGCTTTGACCTAACAGTTCAAAACTCCAAATGCATAGCATTTTATTATTAAGCATGTAACATAAATGCCTTTTAATCCTTGATAGCTGTTATCAAATATTTCCATGATTAATCTGTGAAATTGAAGTCTCACTTTCCAGTGATTTTACATGTAGTACATTCTGAGGTCACTGGAAAAAAGTTAACCTGTACGTATCTATACGGTCATTGCATCAGAAATATTTATTTTTATAAATGACAGGATTTACAGTATTTTCAGAACATACTCATGTCCTTGCCATAAAATACCATCACAAATTGGTGATTTGGCCTAACTTTAATTTAAAAACTTAACCTGGATGTATCTATATGGTAACTGCATCAGAGGGTTTAGAGTAGCTCTTCTGAAGGCTCAACCTAGGAAGGTCTAAAAAAAGGATGTAACAAGCAAGTGCTCTTTAGAAAACTGCGTTGGTCTAAATTAGTCTGACTAGTGGGCCTCAGCTGGATTCAAATAACCAGTGGCACCTGGCACATAACGAGTAAAGCTAAAGGGGCATAGCCCAGAAACCTGTATATTAGACAATCTCCCTAGATGCTGACATTGCCAGGTCAGGGAATTGTGTTCCTGGGAATTAAACTTAGCTCACTAACAGGAGGGCAATCAAAATAAGGGAGGGGCTACTCTTCACTGGTTACATCATCTTTAAATTCTTAATTTCCGACAGATCTAGCATCTTACAGAAAAACTAGAAGTGGTAATTGTTGAGGCAGTGTCAAAATATCTTAACCGTGACGAACAGGAGATGAATACACCAAACGTGTTTTACGTTCTGCTGGGATAGTAAAGAAGACTTTTCAATCAGGAGTACATCTTTGAAAGTCCTTAAAATGTAATCTTTGGTCGCTAGTCAAGAGAATAATTGAGTCTTAGGAGGAATATTTAAATGGAATCTAATTAAATACAAATGTCACATACTTCCACCTTCCCAGAAATGGTCAGCTCATCTTAATTAAGGAAATGGAACCTAAGGATGACTTAAGTCTTATTCTGTGGAATGTGTTTAGACAAGTTTAGGCAAACAGTGAAAACTGACAAGTCCCCACCACCGTACCTACAACATTCTGAAAATGCTTGAAATTAACTCCATTCTTTATCTAGCGGTTCAATATGAACTGCCAAAATTTAGCCCTATTAGTCAGTTCCAAATAATGTAGGCTCTTGGGAATCTAGAACCATGGAGTGCTGACAGTTCTCCTTGGACAGTGGATGAGGACACGCATGATCTCCTCTTTCAAACTCTTTCAGTTGGCTTGGGAAACTCTGGTTTCAGATCCATGGAAGTTCAACATGGTAGTCACCAACTCTGGAAGGTCAAAACCATGTTTCCACCCCCAGTCCTTCCGAGCATTGCTGTCATCGAAGTTCATCGGCCAACTATCCGCTAGGAAAACAGATGGAAGAGTAGCTTCAGTTATTCGGGTTGTGGATTTGCAAAAAGGTCTTGACCATTTTACATAAAGGTCTATCGTCCAAGGTACGAAACGGGAAATTCCTTCGAGTAAAGCAGAACCGCTGTGATGCACAGTCACCCTCTTAGGGCAGAAGACTGTTAACCCATTTTTGTCAGGCACTGTGAATTTTCACTCATTATTAAAATCTCACACAACCCCATGAGGTTTTATACTCAAAGAGGTGCTTCCACCCACAAATTGGCAACGTTATAGTATTTGAAAACCCAGGCTGTCTTCATACTACCTCTATTGCTTCTATTTTTCCTTGCTTTATGTTTAAACTGTAAAAAATGATTAAAGGCTAACAAGCTGTTTATTTGGAATTAAATTATTTCACCCACTTTAGATATCATTCCCCCCAAAATCAAAACATCTGCTAGCTTGGGCTCAACAATTTCTCAAGCTCGGCTTCTTCTCCAAAACGTGCCTGGACCCTGGGGAAGGATCTAGGCTCTCCTTATCCTTCCAAGGTTTATGTCTTCCAGGAACTCACAGTAAAGGCCAGGTACCAACCTATGGCCTGCCGGATGGCATCCACGTTGTATGTGATCTGGAACTCTGGCACGTGCTTGAGGACCTCCTGGGCCAGCTCCTCGGGTGTGAAGCTCATGGCACTGACGTTGTAGGTCCTCATGGAGAGGGACTCGGCGGGGGCCTCCATGACCTCCAGGGTGGCCCTGAGACAGTCATCAATATACATCATCGGCAGCCTCGTGTGGGCTTCCAGGTTGCACTCAAATTTGCCATGCTTTGTGGCATCATGAAAAATCTGGACAGCATAGTCTGAAAGGGAATCCCATGTGTGGGTCAGAACAAAGCAATGAACGAGCCTCTTGGATCACGGCAGCAGTTCTCAAATGTTCCAGTCTCAGAGCCCTTTTCACACCAGATTCTTAAAAACTGACAACTCCAGCCAAGCGCAATGACTCACGCCTGTAGTCCCAGCACTTTGGGAGGCCGAGGTGGGCGGATCACGATGTCAGGAGATTCAGACCATCCTGGCCAACATGGTGAAACTCCATCTTTACTAAAATACAAAAAAATTAGCCAGGTGTGGTGGCATGTACCTCTAGTCCCAGCTATTCGGGAGGCTTAGGCAGGGGAATCACTTAAACCCAGGAGACAGGGGTTGCAGTGAGCCAAGATCACACCATTACGACAGAGCAAGACTTTCAAAAAAAAAAAAAAAAGACAGCAATTTCATTTATCACAAAGACAAATCCTCTTAGCAATAAGTCAGTCTATTTTTGTTTGTTTGTTTGTTTTTTGAGACAGGGTCTCACTCTGTCACCCACACTGGAGTGCAGTGGCATGATCTTGGCCTTGGCCTTCTGTGTTCAAGAGACCCTCCTGCCTCAGCCTCCAAGTAGCTCAGACTACAAGTGCGGGCCATCATGCCTGGCTAATTTTTGTTTATTTTTTGTAGAGACAAGGTCTCACTTGTCTCGAACTCCTGCCTCAGCCTCCCAGAGTGCTGGGATTACAAGCATGAGCCACCGCACCTGGCCCGAAAGCCTATCCAATATCTAAGAGACATAAGAAATAGAAAACAACACTTAACCGGTTGTTCCTCCTCCAGGCTGGGAGTCAGCTGAAATGATTCCAGGATATCTCAGGCATCGGAAATCTAACCCATACCGGTAATGATAATACTATAAGAAAGAGAAAATGTATTCAAACACAGATATTTTAAATCAGATAGATGGAAAAAAAGAAAAAAAAAAAAACCTGCCTTTCTCTGAAATGTCATTCCATGCAGTTATATTTAAATACTCCTAAAGAAAATAAAGACTCCTAAGTTTTTATCTTTAAGAAAACATCAACTTTTTGGTGATACATCAATGCTGTAAATAACACATTAGCCTACAGTGGGGATTTCCATCCTCTCTTTGGAAAGGCACCACTGATCATCATTCCTAAATGATTCTGCATGAGTGCATTCCCACACGCGGGCGGCGGGGGGAGAGCAGAGGAGAGAACAGCGGATGAGAGGGAAATGGCTATGGCAGGGCTGGAGGAGAGGCAGCAACGAAATCTACAAGAGTTAGAAAGATAAAGAGTATTTTACAGTAGTTCACACCTATAATCCCAGCACTTTGGGATGCTGAAGTGGGTGAATCACTTGAGGTCAGAAGTTTGAGACCAGCCTGGCCAACATGGCAAAACGCTACCTCTACTAAAAATACAAAATTTAGCTGGGCATGGTAGTATGTGCCCATAACCCCAGCTACTTGGGAGGCTAAGGCACGAGAATTCCTTGAAGCCAGGAGGTGGAGGTTGCCATAGGCTGAGATCAGGCCTCTGCACTCCAGCCTGGGTGACAGAGCAAGACTCTGTCTCAAAAAACAAAACCCAGTAAGATGTTTGAAGTTTTCTGTAACTTTTAGAGTTACTAGCAATGGCTGCCAATACTGGAAGCCAGAAGGATGACAGGGTGCAAGTACAACAAGCAGCAACTGAAGAGATGGGGGCTGCGCTCAGGGAACCCAGGAAATGCTGAGTGTTCCCATACAGCTGTGGAAAGGCGGCCCTGCCAGGGCTGAGGAGGTTGCAGGAGCTGGAGACACCTGCCACATGGCAAACCCAGTGAGTTAAGTAAACGACTCTGGGGCTGGGAGCCAGGGGGAGGTCAAGTTCCCCCAAGGATGAATCAACAGGCATTGGAGGCAGAAAGAATGAAAAAGTAAACAACAAATCATGCAGCCCAGGGCACATTCAGCAATCTTGCTGAGTGATGCTTACTTCTCCCATGAGCTCTGCGTGGACCTTGGACACCCCGTAGATGGTCCTGGGTCTCTGAATACAGAGATCGGGGGTTGGGTTCCGGGGAGAGGTGGGTCCAAAAGCTCCGATCGTGCTAGGTACAAACAATCGCAGGTTGTGTTCTGCAGCAACGTCCAGGATGTTATGCAGGCCTGAAATGAACAGACACGATCAGAATCTGAAAACATCTCTTCTTAAAGAACTAGAAAAGCTGGCAAACAAATCACATCCAGCCAGAGCCAGATGCTTACCCGTTATATTCACTGCTCTCGCCAGGGAAACATTTGCTTCTCCAACGGCGCTGAGCAAAGCGCTATAGTGAAACAGCCAGGTGATGCGGTTGTTTACCACGATCTCCCGAAGATTCTTGTAATCCAAGATATCAGAATAAATGAATGGACCTGCAAGGAACATACACTGAAACCATGAAAGTGAAAAGGGTGGTGGTTTGAAGAACTAAATGGACCTTTCCCCTTTCCCCCGTTGACTTGTGAATTTCCCTGGTAGCCGGGCGGTAACTAAGCCAGCTGGGCACTAGACAGCGTTTTTCTTATACAAGAATCACAAGTCATAACCACACCCCAAGGTAATGACAGCAAATGATCCTACAGGACCTACCTGGGCCAGGCCCTGTTCTAAAGACTTTATGTACATTTCTCTCCCACACAGCCTTGGAGGTAAACACATTTTACTGATGAGGAAACAGGCACAGAGAGGTTAAGCAACTTGCCAGGATCAGAGAATAAGAGGAGGAATTAGGGTTGCAGCTAGGCATCGGGCTCCAGAGTGGGCGCTGTTCCTCCCAGCCCTGTATGCACAGAGTGACTTCCCTCTGCCTCCAAGGTGCACATTTGAAAAGGAACAGAGAAATGCGCTTATTAACCACCACTACCACCCTCGTATAGAAGAGCCAAAATCATGAGTTCATCACACTTAATTACACAGAGGTAAAGCTCATCTTGTTCTGTGCCAATTTTCGCCACTTACAGCAAACTGTCAGTTTTCCCCATGGTGAGCAGCAAAAGGCTGACGCAGAACCAGGAAAAAGTAGGGGGCATTACAAAACCTTATTTTAGGGGCAGCAGGAACAGAGCCTCGCTGTCGCTCAGGTTGGAGTGCAGTGATACAATCACTCACTAGAGCCTCCATCTCCTGGGCTCACATGGTCCTCCCAAGTAGGTAGGACTACAGGCACCTGCCACCATGCCCAGCTCATTTTTTATTTCTTGTGGACAGGATCTCACTATATTGCCCAGGGTAGTCTTGAACTCCTGGGCCCAAGTGATCCTCCTAACCTCAGCCTCCCAAATTGCTGGGATGACAGGTGTGAGCCACCATGCCTGGTCACAAAAACATTTCTGAAGCAGTAAGAAAACCTGACTAAACAAGCTTGAGTTTGTGTGTGTGTATGTATGTGTGTCACAGTTTAACAGCAATTCTACACTGTAACATCAGGATTAATTTCTCCAAATTTTTTTCTTTTTTTTTTTGTCATATCCCCCTTACTTCTGCAAATTTCTCCAAATTTCTAAAGTTCCTTTTCTTCAATAGAGAACTTAGTTTTTGTTTGTATTCTCTCCGAGTCAGTAAGTTAACTTTAAACACAAAAAAGACAGGAAACAAAGTTTTTATTTCAAATAACATCAAAAGATATTATTCCGAAAACTTTAAGGTCAAAAGAACTCTTCTGTTCTTTTATCACTTGAACAAGCAGCAGCATTAAAAAATATTTATTTTTAAGTGAAATACCAGTGCCTCGATAACTTCTCTTTGAGTCATAAACTGGGCTATGAGCTGTTGCACCCACCAACTGCACGAGCCACCTCTTTGTGCTGTGAACATTAAACATAAAAATAAAAGCAAGGCCTACTAATCTCTTACCGCTGTGAAAGACACAATCGGGGGGTTTCTTTATGTCAGACAAAATCACACTGTCCTTCCCGAATCGTTTCCTAAAGGGAAAATCAATACACACAAGTTGGCAACATTAAGATGCAATGAGTCCTGTGAAAAGTCTTTTAAAATAAGAACTGTAATTTTCCACCAGCCTCCAAGTCTCTACTTCCTCTTCCTCCTCAATTCCCCACCTTCAGCTCTTGCCTCTCACACTCGGGCTTCTATTTCCCTGCCCATGGCTCTGTCTTCTATGTCTCCTCTCACCTGACTGTTAATCCTGTTTGTCTCCAATTTCTTCCCCTTACGCTCTAGAGTTTTTTACATCTTCCTTCTCATTCTTCTCTACCCTCTTCTTATTCTCTTATCCCATTCCCTCCAAATCCCACACGGTTCCCTTCCAGTTTGTGCCTGTACTTCCCTTGGCTCCCAAACAACTAAAAGTCAAAGTGCTTCTTTGGGAGCTGTGTGTCTCATTTTGCCTAAGTTAGGAAAGAGAGAGAGAGGAGAGCAAAGGACCAGTCTGGAGATGTTGAGTCAAGGGCTTGCAACACGTCTGTGATATTCAGAGGCAAAATAAAATGTGTTTAAGGCTGGGCACAGTGGCTCATGTCTGCAATCCCAGGACTTTGAGAAGGTGAGGTGGACATATTGCCTGAGGTCCAGCCAGCCTGGGCAACACAGCGAGAACCTGTCTCTGCCAAAACTACAAAAAATTATCCAGACGTGCTGGCATGTGCCTATAGTCCTAGCTATTTGGGAGGCTAAGGCATGAGAATCGCTTGAACCCAGGAGGTGGAGGTTACAGTGAGCTGAGATTGCACCACTGCACTCCAGCCTGGGTGACAGAGCGAGGCTCCATCTCAAAAAAGTATATAATATTTTAAGCAGTTATTTAGATATATCTTAATGCTAAGGAGCAAGATGCGAGAGAAAAGAAGTTTAAAAGACATTACAGATGAGCTCCACATATTTAAGAACTCAGATTTTAAATTTCAAGTTTTTAGAGTTCTTACCTCAAAAGATTAGCAAGCCCCACTCCCAGCTGGCCAAGACCCCCTAGATGAAAAAGAAAAAAAAAAGTGAAGCTTTAATGCACATCTAACCAGTTCGATTATTATTCCCAGAATGCAATAACTAGTTTTCAGTCTTAGCTAACTAGGCAAATCCTAGGTTGAGCTGATGTAACTCCTGCTTATTTCAAATCTTCCCAGGAATATGGTGCAGCACTTGGAAATGCAATGACCTCCCCAGGCTAGGACAGAGATCAATACAGGTAATATTGGTTTCAGAGACAACACTCTCGCCAGCATGGGGTGGTTCAGAGAAAGAGGAGAAGCAAGGGCACAAGAAGAAGAAAATCTCATGAGAGCCAGACACAAGTCTGGAATTTCTTGGGGCAGGAACTCACCCCTGGCCTTCATTATTTTGATAAGCTCTGAAGCTTGTCTGCTATGGGTGACAAAATCATTCAAAACCAATATAAACAGATTAATAGCCACCTCTGGTGAGATGAGCCAGAATCCCATTTTCTATTAGAACTGGACTGGGATATGAAAGGGCAAAGAGGGAGGGAGAAACCAAGCAGCCATTTGGAAAAAAAAATGTAGATAACTGCAAGGTGGCACTGGGAAATTACACTGAATAGTACAGCTTCTAATTTGAAGGCTTAAACATGCCATTGACAGAAATGGGAGGGAAGTGGGCTAGGAGCACATTTGGAAAAGGACAACAGTCCATTTCATTTGGGAGAAATAGGTGAGGCAGGAAGATATAAAAGTGGGATTTCCTGTAAGCATTTATTAACTTGGTAATAAAACCAGGACACCCTGAAATATACATTATTAGTGGAGGTGAGAGGGAATAAAACAAACACTTGGACAACATGATGGGTAAATCAGAAGAAAGGCATGGAGGGAAATCGAAGCTTGAAACTTACTTCAGCATCAGAAGCAGAGAAGGTGGTAAAAGAAGCAGAGGTGTGCGCGCGTGCGCGCACGCATGCACACACACACACACACACACACACGAGGTTAATGCTGTAAAACCAAGGAAAAAAAGCCTGGCAAGAAAGAGAAATAAAACATGTCCATCAAACTGGAGGTAGGCTTGGGCTGGCTGGAAGTGACAGAGTAAAGTGTGGAATGAGAAGGACATGGAATCAGGTGCTGAACATATTGCGGTATGGATGTTGAGGGCGCAAGTCACTGGCAACGATGAGCTCAATGGCGATGATGAGCTCAAGGGCCGTGATGAGCTCGATGACAACGGTGAGTGCCATGGGAACAAGTCCCTTGGCCAGACGCTAAACTTAACTTCTCTATTTTCAACATGCAAATGTGCAATAACAGTTTGGGATTAACGACTCTGAGTTTAGGTTGAGGAATCTGGCCAGGGAAAGGCATGCCTAACACCAGAATTAATGTTCTAGCCCCAGCACCTTCCTGTAACTAGCCTTCGCTCCCCATACTGATCCTAATATGGAAGGGAACCAAGTTCCAGAGAAGCTATCTAGGGTTCCTAGATTCCTTCAGAAAACAAAAAAAATTATGACAGGGAAAACCAAGTGCTGGCAACAGTGGAAAAGGCAGTGTCTGATCAATAAGATCAGCTGCCCTAATTTAAAACTTTGTATAATAAAATACCTAATTCCGAAATCCTTTTAATAGTGCAGACAATAAATCCAGATTCTGTCATCTGGCCAAGCCTGTTTTTGCTGCATTACTGGCTACAGGGACAGGCAGTGTAATTCAGATAGCATATTACACATTCCAAAAACAAAGGCACAGCCACATAGCATAGGAAAGAACAAGCCATGGAAGTAAAAAAAAAAAAAAAAAAAAAAAAAAAAAAAAAAAAAAAAAAAAAAAAAAAAAAAAAAAAAAAAAAAAAAAAAAAAAAGAAAAGAAAATCCAACCTGTAATTAAGACCCGTGGATGGTCTGTGTCAGAGAAAGAGGCAGAGTGGAAGTTAGCATCTGCTGGAATTTGCCGAGGGGAGAGGCCCAGAAATCGGACCGGCAGGACAGACGTCCAGCAGACACACGCTGGGCTCTGCCCCACTCGCCTCAGCATCCTAATGAACGGCATTTTCTTTTCAAATACCTTGTGGGAAGAAAATGAGCAGAGTTAATGATGTGACCTTTTATCCCTCCAGCTCTTCAAAACAAACTCTTCAACTGAAATGAACACTAAGATTGCCAGCGAATGGGCAAAGCTGTGGTTTTAGATTCAGGAACGGAACGAAAGAGACTGCTGAGTTCGCCGATGGGAAGCCAGTCAAGGGCCTCCCGTGAGCCAGGCCCTGTGATAAAGGGATAAAGGGTTGCTCACACAAAGTCTGGCCAAACAAAGGCTGAACTGAGATTCAGAATTGACACTGCACAGCGCTGACACCAGCTGGGATCTAATGCAACAGAGGTGGTTACTGCACAGAGAACCTGCACATCACAGAGACAAAGTCGGTGGATCCTGGTGAAGGCTTTAAGTCTTGACTACAACTGTTATCAACTTATCCACAATGTCTGAGGATACAAATAGGTCCCAGAACAAACACAAAGTGCCCTGTAAATCTTGTGTTAACACTCACATGTTGTCTTACAATGAACCAGCCTAGAAAAGCAGAGGTGTGAGACAAAAAGGCTCGCAGCAATATTTAGGAAGCTGTGAAGAGTTTTTGTTTTACCATCATCTCTGGAGAGAGGGTCATGTAGAAAAGCCATTTTCTTATAGTTTCAAAGATCACATAATTTTTTTTGTTGTTTTTTATTTTATTACTATTATACTTTAAGTTCTGGGGCACATGTGCAGAAAGTGCAAGTTTTTTACATAGGTATACACATCAAAAAGTGGCCAAAGGATATGAACAGATATTTTTCAAAAGAACACATAACTTAATTTAGTCTAGCTCCACCTCCTCGTCAGCTTTAGCTCCTGCTGATCATGAAATCAGTCTTTGCCTTGGGGGTCAAGATGGTCCAGTCACATACAGCTTGGGACTGCCATGTTCCTCAACCTGTCCCCAACGCCCAGGCAGGCACATCCTGAGAGTAAAGCAGAGCTGTCCAGCTTGCTTTGCTGGGTCTAACAGCAAACCACCCACCCTCCCTACAGGCAGGCCTATCACATACTGCACACCGACCTGCGGCCTCTCCCCTCTCACCCGCTGGAAGATCTTTTACAACAGAAAAGGCAGGTGAGCTTCAAAGCCAACTCAGGTGTCCCATCCCCTCAATCATCTTCTATTTTGCATTATAAATGGAGAAAAGGTTCAAAACAAAACAAAACAAAAGAAACCACACACACAGACATCATCTGTAAGATCCGAACTTACAGGACGGTACTCGGTGCCTCAAGTAGATTTAAGAAAGTGATTCCAAGTTAAACGCAAGAGGTAGCAGAAGCTTTCTTGCAATCCCTAATCATACCAAAACCTAAATTACAGGAAAAAGAAGGAAAATAAGGTCCTTTCAAAACATGCACCCTTTCTTGGTCATGAGGGTTTTACTCTTTAGTACTCCAAAACCAGGTGGGTGGAAGCTGCCTGGTGGCTTCTGAGGGGTCAGTGACTGGACGCAACAGGTGTCCGCATCTATAAAACACCTGAGGCCTTTTGGCCCAGCTAATGTTCTCAAGTAAGTGAGCAGAGGAGAACCTTCTCACTGTGGGTGCATCTCTGCTTTCACTGCACAGGCCTCAAGTGATGAGGGAGGTGTCTAGGATAGGCCACATTACGGGAAAGGCCTCAGCTTTTCCTCAAGCAGCCCTTAAAGGGACACTAAGTGTAGCCACTGCTGGCACCTGAAACCAGTTAAGAACTTAGATTCTTACAGTCACTTATTTCAGCAAGTGCAGAGGGATACTGAGGAAGCCCAGAGACAGTATTTCCTGGAACATTTGAAACTGAAAGACAATTCCCAAAAGCAAAATAATGAATGGCCATGGCTAAAAACGGTTTGTTCAAATTTACAAGAAAAAAACAACCCTATCAAAAAGTGGGCAAAGGATATGAACAGATACTTATCAAAACAAGACATTTATGCGGTCAACAAACATATGAAAAAATGCTCATCATCACTGGTCATTAGAGAAATGCAAATCAAAACCACACTGAGACACCATCTCACACCAGTTAGAATGGTGATCATTAAAAAATCTGGAGACAACAGATGCTGGAGAGGATGTGGAGAAATAGGAACACTTTACACTGTTGGTGGGAATGTAAATTAGTTCAACCATTGTGGAAGACAATATGGTGATTCCTCAAGAATCTAGAAATAGAAATACCATTTGACTCAGCAATCCCATTACTGGGTATACACCCAAAGGGATAAATCATTCTATTATAAAGACACATGCACATACATGTTCATTGCAGCAATGTTTACAATAGCAAAGACTTGGACAACCCAAATGCCCATCAATGATAAACTGGATAAAGAAAACATGGCACATATACACCATGGAATACTATGCAGCCATAAAAAAGGATGAGTTCATGTCCTTTGCAGGGACATGAAGCTGGAAACCACCATTCTCAGCAAACTGACACAAGAACAGAAAACCAAACACCGCATGTTCTCACTCATAAGTGGGTGTTGAACAATGAGAACACATGGACACAGGGAGGGGAACATCAAAACTGGGGCCTGTTGGGGGTTTGGGAGGCTAGGGGAGGGATAGCAGGAGGTGGGGAGATTGGGGAGGGGTAACATTAGGAGAAATACCTAATGTAGGTGACTGGGGGGCGGGGGATGGTAGATGCAGCAAACCAGTATGTCACACGTATACCTATGTAACAATCCTGCATGATCGGCACATGTACCCCAGAACTTAAAGTATAATAATTAAAAAAAAAATCAAGTACAGATGAACTCTAAAAAAAAAGGGGGGGGATTTGTTTCGTTTTTTGTTTTAAAGATTGAAAAGACTAGAGCTGCAGGGGAAAGCAAATCCTGAAGATATGAAACAGGTACGACAATATTCATCTCATCTCCACAAAGGGAAAACATGAAGGAGGCACCCAACAAATTGTTAATTGAATGTGAAGTTTCAGTTCAACAACATGGACAGTTCGTAATGGAGTTGGTTCTTCCTACTCCACTATGATTAGCAGGTAACATTTTTTGCTGTTTATATGCCACAAGCTGGTGAGTGCTTAACTGTACTATCCCAAGTACTACTGCCTGAGAAAACCTAGTTCTTAACCACCTCGCAGCAATACTGCCTGTTACAGGATCGCTTTAACAATACATAGGTACTAAAAACAAAAATAAAACGTAAAAAACCTCCAACCATCTACAGCATGTAGCTTTCCATCTTGCTCCTGCCAAGTTGAACTTAACACTCTTAAGACGGCAGTTCTCTAATTTTTTGGTCTTAGAACTTCTTTATACTCTTAAAAATGGAGAACTCCAAAGAGCTACTGTTTATGTGGGTTATAGCTATTAATATTTAGCGTGTTAGATATCAAAACAAATAAATGTTTAACATCTTTATTAATTGACTTAAAAACAATAAACACGTTAACAAACATCATTATTAAAGTAACTATATTTTCGGGAGGCTGAGGCGGAACTGCTTGAGCCTGGGAGGTGGAGGTTGCAGTGAGACAACATGGTGCCACCACACTCGACTCCAGCCTGGGAGACATAGCAAGACTCCATCTCAAACAAACAAAAAAACCATATTTTCCAAAACAAAAAATATTTAGTGGAAGGAGTGCCATTATTTTAAACTGTATACTTCTCTTTAAAAAAAAAAAAAAAAAAGACCTGGATTTTCACATCTGCTTCTGCAATTTGTTGCTGTAATTGAAAAAAAATCAAAACACAGCAAAGCAGTGAAAAGGAAACGGTATTTTATTCATTTTTCAAATAATTCTGGATATTCATCTTTGATACCACTCCAAAACTCAATGCATCAGTGTTCTTACAGGTTAGTTGCAATGAGGAATCTAAAAACTTATCAATAAATTTTTGAACTTTGGTACAATAAAACTTACTTGAATGCTTTAAATCAGTGGTCTCCAACCTTTTTGGCACCAGGGACCAGTTTTGTGGAAGACAATTTTCCACGGACTAGGAGGAAGCAGGATGGTTTTGGAATGATTCAAGCATGTTACATTTATTGTGCACTTTATTTCTATTATTATTGCATTGTAAGATATAGTAATTATACAACTCAACATAATCCAGAATCAGTGGGAGCCTGAGCATGTTTTCCTGTAACTAGATAGTCCCATCTAGTAGCAGATCATCAGGCATTAGATTCTCATAAGAAGCATGCAACCTGGATCCCTCCCATGTGCAGTTCACAACAGGGTTCACGCTTCTGTGAGACTCTAATGCCATAGCTTATCTGACAGGAGGCAGAGTTCAGGCAAGCAATGAGGAGCAGCTGTAAATACAGATGAAGCTTTGTTCAGTCACTGCTGCTCACCTCCCGCTGGGCGGCCTGGTTCCCTACAGGCCACGGGGCAAGCACTGCTTTAAATGGATCTTTTAGCCCTGCTTGACTCTGTACCTTCGTGCATTAGTCTTTTGGAAAATATTGGTTAAGTAATGCACATTGTCCAAAGATTAACACACTTCACTATATAATATTAAAAAGTCCTACTAGTTAATATCACCACTGATCTCATCAGAAAATTCCTTAGTATGGGGAAGCTGTCAAACTCATGGTGAAATTAATTGGCAACAAACACTGTTAGTTGTTTCCTTGAAGTGACAGGCTTTGTTCATGTTTTAGAATATACCGGACAATTTTCCATACCCATTGTTTGTCAGTCATTCTGTCAAGCAAAAATGGTTTTTCTATAAAGAAATGTGGCCAGTTCAGCTCACAATTCAATCATACACTGCTTTACCTGAAGACAACGATTATACTTTGAAACATGTAACAGAAGCGCTTTATGAGCACATCCCTGCATTATGCAGCATATCAGAGAGATGCACACTCATAAGTCAAGATTTAATCAGGACAATCATTTTTACTGTTTCATCAGGGACATTCTTAAATAAAGCTGGCAATTTTATTTTTTATTGAAAGCATATGGCAGTGAAGAATACGTGATGATTACAACAGCTTGGTACCACTGCCTTGATTTGCACAAGGGCATCAGGAGTTTTACCCAGCATTGTTCTGGCACCATTAATGCAAGTTCAATGCACTTGTTCCAGAATGAACCACAAAATTCAAAAAGTTGTTCAACACTTTGAATATCTTGGCACTACTCATGTTTAATGCGAAACATTCATTAAAAAGATACTTTCTATTGTAAATATAAAGGATTGTACATTATGTTACATATTACAATAAAAAGATTATCTAAAAAGGTATTGATTGGCTTGGTGCTGATACCAGAAGAATACAAGCAAAATGGCAACTCTAGGCTTTCTTCCATTTGTAAGGCAGAAATGCACTTCTATGGTCAATATACCAACTGGGTCTTCATGTTTCAGAGAGATCTTTCATTTGACAGAAAGTTGAAGTACTATGAGCTCTTTCAATGCATTTTCATCTAAACAAGGCTTTACTGTGTGTTTCTGCAATCCATGCAACTTGAACATTTATCCTGCTTCATGCTTCAACTTTTTGTTATAGCTTTCTTGAAAAGCTGTAACAAAAATTTCTGGCATTTAAAAAGCTCATTATATTCACACTATGCCATTCATTTCATTTTTCTTTAAAGGACTCTAAATGGTTGGTCTCAAAATAATGCTAATGGCACCAAAATACTATTGAAAATGGTTC